TGTTAATTTCTATCTATGAGCCACAATCGCCTGACAGCCTCTAGCCCGTACTCGGACGGTCTCTTAAGACCATATGACGTCACACGTAGACTCTAGTACTGAGTCTACGTAGGATCCTACTGTACCGGTACCAGTTCTATCGAGTGCAAACTAGAGGCCCTGATGAGTGTCTCCAAGCACATGCATAAGCACATGATAAGCTCTCTATCGACACTCCTTCGTACCTCTATGGTGCGGCGGTTTGAAGCACCTCTACCGGTATCATTTGAAGCACCTCTGCCTACCTCTATCGACACTCCTTCCTTCCTCTATTGACACTCCTTCCTTCCTCTATCGACACTGTTTCCTCTATCCACACTGCCAACACTCAACACCACCACACGGCTTGAGCAATGGAACGTTCAAGATGCACATATGCACAGTACAGTAGTGCACACCAGGAGGGGATACATCACGGTGGGTCTATGCTCTAGCTAGCTAGCTACTAGAACCACGTGGTACTAGTAGCTAGTAGCTAGCTAGGTCGTACCGTATGTACTGTTACTATAGAATTACTGTACAAATCCAAGAATATGACAATAGTCTTAATCTGCAGTGGGTCTTAATGTGCATGTCACTCTACTGTCTGCTTCCAACCCTACCAGCCAGCACTACAGGTACCGGACTGCAACAACCACTCTACCCTGGAACACTCCCGGAGAAGTCGTTATTGAGGATAGGTCTATAAGAAACATAGTCTTTCCTGAAAGTGATTTAAATGTCGTAAATGTCGTAAATGTCGTAAATTCTATTTAAGCGATGTCGTAGAATGTCGTAGAATATCTAGGATGTCGGAAGCTTTCTTCATCGCTAAATCCGACAAATCCGACATTTAGCGAGAGAGAAGCTTAAGCTTTTGGTCATTTGTTAAATCTCTAACTCGGAAACTTAAAGCCTCGCCAAATGTCGGATTTAATTTATGACATTTGGCGATGTCGTAAATGTCGTAGAATGTCGTAATTTTAAGCGATGTCGTAAATGTCGTAAGCTTTTTACGACATCCTCTCGACATTTACGACATTTACACATTTACGACATTTACGACATTTACGAATACAATCAGCTCTAATTCCGAAATCCTACTTTATGGTGAGTGTTCCAGGTGCATGATGCACCTGAAGGTGACATGTTGCCCGAAAGCAAGTGATAATTGCTTGCTTTAGCTCTTGCTTTAAAGTTCTCAAAAAATGAATGGGTTGAAGAGCTGTGAAGCTGTGAAGCAACAAGAAACATTAATTATTTATTTATTTATTATTCGTTATTATTTTGAATGACGCAACAGTTCGCCGACTTCAATTCTTATTGCGTGGAGGGGCCTGCACTATAAGAAACATATCGGAAGCGGTTCATGATGGTCAAACTGCAAGAGAGCGAAGGCATGAGTTTTAAGAAAGAGAAGGGGAGCCTCCACTGTTCTTTGAAGAGCACCGGATCCGCGGAGGGTCACCAAAACAAATACTCCACATAATAAGAAAATGCCGAACAATCGAGCTACAAACGTAATTGGTGAGGTGGTTCTAGTAGCTAGCTAGCTAGCTAGGTCGTACCGTATGTACTGTTACTATAGAATTACTGTACAAATCCAAGAATATGACAATAGTCTTAATCTGCAGTGGGTCTTAATGTGCATGTCACTCTACTGTCTGCTTCCAACCCTACCAGCCAGCACTACAGGTACCGGACTGCAACAACCACTCTACCCTGGAACACTCCCGGAGAAGTCGTTAACTAGTAGAGGATAGGTCTATAAGAAATCATATGTCTTTCCTGAAAGTGATTTAAATGTCGTAAATGTCGTAAATTCCGAATCTAGAATGTCGTATATTTAAGCGATGTCGTAGAATGTCGTAGAATATCGTAGGATGTCGGAAGCTTTCTGTATCGCTAAATCCGACAAATCCGACATTTAGCGAGAGTAACAGCATTAAGTCTTTTAGGTCATTTTGTTAAATCTCTGAACTCGGAACACTTAAAGCCTCGCCAAATGTCGGATTTAGAGTTTACGACATTTGGCGATGTCGTACAATGTCGTAGAATGTCGTAATATTTAAGCGATGTCGTAAAAAGCTTACGACATTTACGACATTTACGACATTTACGACATTTACGACATTTACGACATTTACGACATTTACGACATTTGCGACACGGGATTCCGAAATCCTACTTTATGGTGAGTGTTCCAGGCTGCTGTGCACCTCGAATGTGACATCGCTATGACCCGACAAGCAAGTGCAAATAATTGCTTGCTTTAGCTCTTGCTTTAAAGTTCTCAAAAAATGAATGGGTTGAAGAGCTGTGAAGCTGTGAAGCAACAAGAAACATTAATTATTTATTTATTTATTATTCGTTATTATTTTGAATGACGCAACAGTTCGCCGACTTCAATTCTTATTGCGTGGAGGGGCCTGCACTATAAGAAACATATCGGAAGCGGTTCATGATGGTCAAACTGCAAGAGAGCGAAGGCATGGGTTTTAAGAAAGAGAAGGGGAGCCTCCACTGTTCTTTGAAGAGCACCGGATCCGCGGAGGGTCACCAAAACAAATACTCCACATAATAAGAAAATGCCGAACAATCGAGCTACAAACGTAATTGGTGAGTAGTTGAAGCTGTAGTTGATCACTACACACTACTAGATCTTAGAGTACTGGGTAGGTGATTATGATGATCTATCTTTGCATAGCTCTTTGCATCTAGTAGCTCATCTATTAATAGTCTATCTATCTCCTCTCCACAACATGTGGCCAGCAGCGTCACCTACCCGTCTGACGTCTGACAATCTTCTTTTGCTTTCACCAGCAGGTGGAGCTCGAAAAGCTTTATTGTTGGTAAGTCAAGTTCCAGTCATGCACTTCCCTTCCTTGCTTCTTCAATATTCTCTTGGCCTTTTCAAACCAGTACACCCATTCCACCTGACCCCAAAGCCGAAAGCCCACACAATCACACAATGTTACAGATACCAGCTCAGATACCAATACAGACACACACAAGAACAGCTGTCAAGATTTAAACCATTTTCGAGAGTTGAGAGTCTGCCTCTTGTGCGTTGTTTCGGGAAGTTTTGCCACCAAAGTGCTTCGCACTTAGATCGCCAAACAACCAAACAGCCTAGTACCAGGAGCTCCACCAAGTAACATCCTACAAGCGACACAGTGTTTGATGATGACCAAAACGAGTTCATAGTTGAATGAGAAACCACCCAGTATTGTTCTGCCGTTCTGATATATATGAAGGGACAAGCAAAAAACTAATTGGATCTCTCCTCGCTTTCAGGATTCTTTTCTTTGGTGTCTACTATTCATAGCTTGTCTACCACTGTGGCCAGTGGCCAGACAGCATTATTCTTTTTTAGAACTTGAAAGTTTGTAAGCAAAACAGTCATTCAATTGCCATCCTTCAAGTGCCTATGTCACCGCCGCTCCGATGCTCTTATGGCCATTGCGAGGTTCAACTGTTCCTTCTTTCTGGCTGGTCGGCTAGCTATATACTGTGGGTCGCCCAAGCCATCTTGCCATCTACCGAAGCCTAATACTTGCCTTCGTACTGCTACCAGTGCTATAAATCCAGCGATCAGTGAGTTGGGCAAGTGAACTGCACCTCAGAAGGAGGGGAGGGGGAATTGTCCTTGGAAAGAAATCAATTAAAAAAAGGAAAGAATCTTCAACTTTGCCTTCTTCGATTCTTCTTCTTAATTAAGAAACAAAAGGCTGGGATTCTCATGGCTACTTCAACACTCTTCAACAGTGTTCTTCTTACAACACAGAATACTTAAAAGCCACTCTGAGTATTTAATGCAAATGTGTGAGGTGGCTGAGCAATATATACCGGTGGCAAGCCAGAAGCTAGCTATTAATACCTGAACAGCTCCTGACCTCATTTAGCAGCCACAAGTAGTGAATTAATTTAAAGCAGAGATCTCCTCACTATTCTACAGCTTTCCCACGACGCACGACCCATCTTCCCCTCCCCGACAGAGGAAACAGGAAGGCAGATAAGTAGCTAACGCGGGCAAGCACACCAGCCTTCGGTTTTGGCAAAAGCAATCAGACTTCGGACTTGTTTGTGATCTTTCCATAGTTCCATCAGCGTCGAAGAGCACACAGTAATTGAACAGATTGACCTCAATAAAACCACAAACAAATCACATCCGCCATCAAAGCAATGTGTCCGAAGATGATGATGAACGACCCAGCAAGCGTCAAAGACGGATTCAAAGCCACGGGGCAACGGCCTGCTGGCTTCCCGAGCAGAGTTTCTATGACTCCTCATCAGCCAAGTCGCGGAGGCAACAGTGGGCAGCCGAACACAGATGCTACGCTGGCGGGGGCTACATCAGGAGCTGCCACGCACGATTTTGTGGTGGGCCTGGGAGAGAGGCCGGTGAGTGTGATAGAAGTGCTTTGTGGCGAACGGGCGAACCGTCGAGGCCAGGCCTTGGACGTTCCTGCGATCCACTTTGTAATGGATGACCGAGGGATGAACAACTTGCCTGGCAACTACCCAACCCTGGTGGAAGTCAGAGGAAACAATTGGCCTCGTGCCAATGGTGAAGCGATGAGACTTGCGGACATTATCGACCGCACCCTCGAGGAGCTCGATTTCTAAGATGGGGGAGGCTGCATCCAACAAATCAATGTTACATAACCTCTAGAGTACTGCCTGTTATTGAACAACTTTCAACTTTCCTATCTATCTATGAGTCTTCATCAGTCATCGTTCTGTCTTCACGACATTCAGGAACCCCCAGAGCGCGACATGGCTGCTGCGGCCATGAGCTCTCGCTTGTGTTTCTGCACGCACTCGGAACTACAGTAGACATAGTCGAGCCTGCTAAACATGTCCTTTCTCTTCCGTCCTTTGACCACCACTTGGCAAAAGTCACAAGCATTACCACCCGCCGCCTTGGGCTGCAGTCCATCCCGAACAGCTTGCCGTCCTCTTCTTGTTTGCGAGCAACTTCAGCCAGCTCCCGTTGTCTTTGATCGTGTTCCGCTTGAGCCTTTTCCTCTGCCTTTTTCTGCCTTTGTCGAGCACGCTTCTTGGCGTTCTTTTCGGCCTGCCTCTGACCTTTTTGCTTGAAGATCGTCTACCGTCAATGCTGGCCCTACTTTGGCTTTGGTGTCCCATTTGCAGTAGTCTTCTCCAAGAGTGGCTCTGGCCATGCGGAATGCATCTCGTATTTTGTCGTGGGATGCCAAAAAGTATGGCGGACGACTGCGGGCATCTACAATGGAGGGGTCGGCGTGGCCCTCTACCAATAGATGGATAACGATGGAAGCCGCTGTTTCGTTGTCCACAGTGTTTGTTTGCCCTTCGTCTGGCTGCGGCTGCTGCTCAGATTGTCGTTGTATGGATGCAGCCTCGGCTGCGTAGTGGAGGCAGGTCATGAAATCCGGACCAACGCGGCGGTTGATCATTTGTTCCACAGTCAATGAAGTTTCTTCTTCTTTGTCGGTTGAAGCAACGACCTGCTCTTTGTCCGCAAGCAGCTCGATGACTCTGGACAAATTGCCCTCGTGACAAGCCTTGTGTAGAGGTGTCAAAGGAAAGATAATTGCTGGCTTTTCTTCAACCTGTTTCTTTTTGTTGCTGTTGCTGTTGCGCGGGCGGCTGCGACACAGTCCCTTCCTCATTGGTCACGGCAGCATCATCCACACGAGTC